TGAATTGATTAAAATTTTACATTCTTATTATTGACGCTATAAACATATATAGACAAGAAACCTGATGACTGGGTTGATAATCCAAAGATTCCCGATCCTAGTATGTATCTTTCGAAAGATAATTTTGTGTAATATAATAAATAATAGTTTGATCTATCATGTAAACATGTGTAATTAATATATATTTTATTAAAAGGTGCTAAAAAGCCTGCTGATTGGTATGTTTTTTTTTTTTTTTTTTTTAAAAAAAAAAAGTATTAGTGTCTCTGGACAACTAACTAAATTGTCGAATTTATAATTTAAAATATAGGGATGAGGATGCACCATACGAAATTCCTGATGAAGATGCCAAAAAGCCTGAAGGCTGGCTTGATACTGAGCCTTTGAACATTCCAGATCCGGAATCCAAAAAGCCTGATGACTGGGATGATGAAGAGGATGGCGATTGGATTCCTCCAACTATACCTAATCCAAAATGCGAAGAAGCACCTGGTTGTGGCGAATGGAAACGTCCAAACAAGCGTAATCCTAACTACAAAGGAAAGTGGTACGCTCCAGAGATTGATAATCCAAAATACAAAGGTCCATGGGCACCTCGTAAAATTCCAAACCCTGATTTCTTTGAAGACTTGAATCCTTCTAAATTTGAAAAGATTGTAAGTTTAATTATTTGTTATCGTATTCAATGTTCATAATTGTATTTTGTCACTAAAAGAAAATTTTATAGGGCGCTGTTGGATTTGAACTCTGGACTATGCAAAGCAATATTTTATTTGATAACATCTATATTGGCCATTCTGAGGAAGACTCCCAGAAATTCGCTGAAGAGACTTGGGGCGTAAAATATAAGATTGAACAGGCTGAAGAAGCTAAAGAATATCCTGATAAAGGAGAAAATGAAGTATGTATTATAAGTATTTATCCGACACGATTTATCATATTCAAAGTATTTATGAAATTGGGTCATTTTGTTTAGACTTCTGGTACATTTGTCGAAACCATACAAAAACATGTAAATGAATTTCTTGAAATTTTCTACGATGATCCTATGGAAGCATTCAAAGAAAAACCAGAAGTTGCGGGTGGTTTAGCTGTATTGGTTGTTATACTCATTTCACTTCTCGGAGTATTGTTTAATTTACTATCTACGCCCCAAAAGGTATTTGTTAAATAATTAATTTAATGATAATGAATCTTAGAGGACTTTAACCAATTTCCCTTTTCATTAAAAGGCTTCTGCACCACACAAAAAGACTGACGAAGTAACTCCTGATGATAAAGATGCTGATAAGGGTGATGCAAGCGCTTCAAAAGATGATGGTAGCGATAACGGATCAAAACCATTAACCAAACGACAAAAACCCAGACAAGACAATTAAATAACTAATTAATAGCTATTTCTATTTGAATTTCTTTCAATGAATATTCAT